AGGGATTTTTATATTTTAGTAAAAGAGTAGGAAAATATTGAGAATAGATAAAGAAGTGTTGTGTATTTAAGTAATTTTTCCATTAAATTAAGATATTTATAAATATATAAACATATAGGGAAACTTATATAAATCTTATTAAGTTAGGAGCTAATTACTTAGATACATTCTACTTTACAATATTACATATTTTACCAGATTTTGGTGCATACAGATACGTTCAAATACATGTATCTCGAATACAAGAGGTCAAAATTAGGTGTAGTTTGTTCTAGATACATTGTATCCAAGTGGATTTGCATGTATTTGAGATACATAACAAATCTTGCTCGTCTCTCTCCCATAACGCTTGCCACTTCCATGTATCTAGTAAACTATACTAGATACATGTGAATCACATCATGTATCTGGTGTGATTCGCATGTATCTGAGATACATACGAATCTCGCTCGCCTCCCTCCCCAATCTCCCTCGCTTATCTCCCTATTTTTGCGTATATTGTAGCAAAAATACATGTATCTCTAAGTATATTTTCTTCAATATATATGGTAGGAAATTCTCAATTATTGGTAAAATACGTAAAATTTTGAAAGTATAGGTAATAATAATATATAGATACATTAAAAACTAGCTCGAATACATAATATGTAGCTTGGATACATTAAAAACTAGCTCGGATACATTAAATACCGGCTCGGATACATTAAAGAAATAATGGATTTTGGAGATTTTTAAAAGTAATACGAAATAATGGAAATAAGTGAAACAAAATGTGTGTATTTCTGTAATTTGTCCTAATATATATGATGGTCAAGCATATCTAATTATGTAGTTTTTCCAAATATATATTATATAGTAAAAATACTCCTTATAGATGTTGTGTATACAACATGTACATATGAGAATTGCACATTTCGCAAGAACACAGTTGATACAAATTGTATTCATTGAGCGAATAAATACAATTGACACACAAATTAGATTCATTGTGCAAACGAGTACAACATATACATGTATCTCAAAACCAATGTATTACTAGATATGCCTGATAATATGCAACACTATAGTGTCTTAAGAGAACTTATTTTCTTTGGTATGAAAATTTAAGCCATTAATTCTAAAGGCAAATGATTTATGATCTCCTTCCCTTCGTTTTTATCTCTGATTAGTTTATCAAAATTTTAACCATATACTACTTCCTTCATTCCATATTAGTTGTTTACTGTACTAAAATTTATTGTTTTAAGTTACTTGTTAATTTATAAAATCAAGACATAGTTAATAATATTTTCCCAACTAATTCTTTTTAAAAGTGTAAATGAGTTTGTAAAGTTTTAAAAATAAATAAATTCTTAAAGAGTAAATTAGTAAAATTATTCTTTTAATTAATAATTTCTAATGGTTCGTGGAAAAGAAAAAATGAATAACTAATCTGAAACGAAGGGAGGGTAACTTATGGTGTAGTCAAAATGATAGTTACTTTATGAATAATTCATGATATAATTGGAAAGAGCACTTCGTGAAACAATAATATTAATATGAAGATATTTAAGACCCGTTTGGCAGTAGATTTTCCAAATAAAATTTGGGAGAAAATTTGGCAAATACTGTTTGTCCATACAATTTATCATTATTTGGCAAATATTTTTGGCAACTAACCCAAATTCCCAAATACTAGAAAAAACTAGTATTTGGGCCAAATCTCATATTTGAGATCTTTTAAAAATTTAAATTCTATACAAACAAAAATTTAAATTGTTGTTTGCGTTGTATTACATAATTTTTTACGTAAACACCAAAGTAGTGATGAAATATTTAGTGAATGTGAAAATGATAATATGATTATTGATGAAAATGATGAACAATCAGCTCAAGGTAACAAACTCATGTGCTTTGTCTACTTCACGATGTATAGAATGATGCTTGTTGCACTCACTCCGAATGACCATATTGCTTCAGTGTCATGGACATTACTTGTTATTTATTGCAACAAAGATCCAATTGACTTGTAATACAAACATATGATTAATTTTGATAGTTTTTAAAAAACTTATGGGTATAAATCATATTTCCTAAAAAAGTGAAATATGTTTCCCAAATACTATGGACAACAACATAGTGAAATTTCACCCAAATTTTAACACATAATATTTGTCAAAAATATTTGAAAATCTATGATCAAACGCTAGTTTAAGTTAATGAATATGAGGGTACACTTGCACTCACTATAAATTAATCGAAAAGTCAATATAAACCGAAATTGACTCGAATTGATATATCGTTGAAAACCAATTAAATTGACAAATTTATTATTGCTTCCTTTTATTTTATCTAAAACTTTGGTGGATAATGAAACTTCTCATTTGGGCAAGAGAATATTAGACTAAGCACCAAAAATATTATAGTTCTAGAAGCCATAAATGTAAGAGGAGTTTGTCAACGTGAGATACGTAGCACATACCTTTCATGTTACTCTGCGATTCATTATACTTGTCATATTTTTTTTACACATTTTTTATATAAAAAAATTAAAAATAATTTAATTTAATTATATTATATTATTCTATTAATCTCTCTCCACATAAATATGAAAACTACTAATAATTAATTCTATTTTAGTTTTCTAAAATCTCAATTATTTCGGACCATCTATTATAAGTTAAAATAGATCGGAGAGAGTATATTTAAACTTCTACTTTTTTTTTTTCTTGGTCATAATATTCAAACTTTTACGCTCACGCCCCATATAAATTCAACCTCCATCACACTTAGTGTAATATTTAGTGGTCATCTAATGATCTAATCCATTAAATCTACTTTTAATTGTTTGGTTAATTAATATAATTGTGGAACTTGACACTGAGTTCAAGAACATTTTAATGCCCGATATAAGATTTTATTAGATCAAGGGGAAGATATCTCTATAAGAGAAAGAAACGTAATATTTTACTTGTTTTAATTTATATGTCTTACTTTTATTTTCAATAGTCAATCCAAAAAAAAAGAAAATTATTCTTCTTTAATTAGATTTCACTTTATTCTTAGAAGGACTCAGAATCCTTTTTCCGATGATGTTGCCTGCTACAGTGAGATTCATGCTAATTCAATTACTTAATTTCATTAACATTTGGTTTATCACAATCTAATTATTTGGTTATATCACAATCCATATATCCTTAAATCATGTATATAAATTTCAATTTACTGATTATAATAAAAAGTAATATTTTAAGAAAAACTACATAATTGGACATAATTTACTACCATATATATTAGAGTAAATTTTATGTTTAGCGAACATAAAAATCATATTAGCACTCTATAGCTACAATTTTGTTATTTGCGCTCCATAGAGCATCTCATTTGTATAAATCGCAGACATGCAGCTCGTTTAAACCCTTGTATCCGAGATACATATATTTGGATGTATCTAGAGGCATCAAAATCTGATAAAATATGAAATATTGCAAACTAGAGTATATCTAAGTAATTAGCTCCTAAACTAGTGAGATTTATATAAGTTTCCCCATGTTATAGTCATACAAATGTATATACGACTATTTTGAACAAGTTTCAATATTTTGTTCTTCAAACTTCATATACATAAATTAGACTGATTAGAGTATACATATACATACAACCTATTTACACTGTTAAGTGAAAGATCAAATGTGGAAAATACATATATTAGTGAATAAAGTGAACAAAGTCATATGCGGCCCCTTAAGTTGTTTGTATAATTCATTTAGATACCTCAACTAGAAATTGTACTTATTGAACACTTTTACCGTTCAAAACATGTACCCATTGAATACTTTTTGATGACATGGCATCATAATTGTAATACACATCCAAAAAGGTGAGTGAAGCCAAATATTTTTTTACCGACAAATCAAAACTAGACATGTCAACATTAGAAAAATAATAATTTCTATAAATTTTTTTTTTTTAAAAATCACTGGTTTCTCAATCCAATACTCATTTGCCTTCGCCACCATCATCGACATACCCCTTTTCCATCTATTCCTGCATATCCTTTTTTTTTTCAGCATCATTCCGTCATCATCAATCGTTGTTTTCTTCATCGGAAAAGCATTAATTAAAGAAATAAAAATCAAAGTGAGAAAAAAATAATTTCGGCGAAACTCCATTTTTTCGGACAAAACTAATATGAATCTAAAATTATTTTCTTTGAAATTGTTATAGAATTCAAATTCTAAAGAACCCACAACATTGAAGAAGAAAAAATATCAACAAATTTTGATTGTTGTTCGAAAAAATAAATGAGATTGATAAAAATGACAACTGCAATATTGAATTAGAATAAAGGAGAGGAGGTAGGTGTACGATTATCGGAGTGTGCGGTTTTAGCCGGAGGCCGCTGTGTGTGTTCCGGCAAAGAAGAAAATGAGGAAGAATGGAAGTCGGGGGTGGGCCGGTGCCTAGTATGTTTTGGCGAAGAAGAAAAGGCAGAGAAAAGTTTTTCTTTTTCTTTTTTTGGCTGAAAACAAATTTTTATTTTATTTTATTTTTTATTTATATTTTAATTATTATTATGGGCCCAATGCCACATGTCCTTTTCTGATTAGTTACTATGCCATATCACCGCGAGTGTAACACACAATTTCTATTTTTAGTTGATTGTCAAAAAATATTTAATAATTTTTGTTTTTTTTTTTTTTTTTTTTTTTTACTAAAAAAAGTGTTCAATTGGAACAAGCCTAAAATGAGGTATCCAAGTAAAATTTATGAATACTTTAGTGGCTACAGATGAGTTAAGCATAATGAAGAATCTCAAACTTCATACTACTATTCAAACCTTCCATTGGAACAAAATGGAATTAGTCAATTTCCCACCCAAAACCATAAAAAATGCAAAAAACTAAAAATAAAAAATCAACAATTATGGCTGTGTATATGACTTTTCTACCCTCTACTTGAAGTTACAAGTTTATAAAATGGTGCACCATTGTAAAGTTGTACATACCATCTCATTTTTTTCATCAAAATATGTCTTCCTCAAAATTAATCTCTTGTCTATTTTTCCTTTCATCCATTGCAATGGTGATTTCCACAGATCCATTATTCCATTTTTGTTCAAACTCTGAAAATTTCACATCCAATAGTTACTATGCACAAAATTTAAAAAATCTCTTAGGTGATCTCTACTTGAAAACTCCTCCAACAGGGTTCTCAACTAGCTCAATTGGGCAAAATCATGATCAAACAAATGGACTTTCTCTATGTCGCGGCGATGTTTCAAGCAATAATTGCAAATCTTGTGTATTAGATGCTAGTGAAGAACTTGGAAAACGTTGTCCTTATGATAAAGAAGCCATCATATGGTATGATAATTGTCTCTTGAAATATTCCAACAAAGATTTCTTAGGAAATATTGATAATACGTACAAGTTTTACATGTGGAATGTTCGCGTTGTGAGTAATCCTGAATATTTCAATGCAAAAACTAAGGAATTGTTGGGGAGCTTGAGTGAAAATGCTTATAAAACGTCGAATTTGTATGCAATTGGAGAAATGGAGATTGAAGAAAATAAGAAATTGTATGGATTGGTTCAATGTACAAGAGATATTTCTAATGAGGACTGTAAGAAGTGTCTTGATGGTATTATTACTGAAATTCCAAGTTGTTGTGATGGAAAAGAAGGTGGAAGAGTTGTTGGTGGAAGTTGTAACTTTAGATATGAAATATACTCTTTTGTTAATATTCCTTAGAACTTAGAAACTATATGATACATGCTATATTGATAATGCTCAAAAGATGATATTATAATATGAGGTTTGAACTAAAATTCCTATATTGATGTAATTTGGTTTAAGTACTATGTTTGGTGAATAAAGAATGGACAAATATGTTTTTCTACTTTGATATATATAGTTGTGAAATCAAATTATTACAATAATATAATTCCTTGCAGAGGATTTAAATACATGACGAGATACTGTAAGTGACAGAGTGAGTACTTTGCTGCCATGATTCATGCGGTTCAATGACCATGATTGGTTAACCATGACTACGGTTGACTATTTGAGAGTAAACGCTCCCTTATATGTAGGCTTCAAAATTAGAGAAGATTTTAAAAGAAAAATAAAATTGGAGGGAGTTAAAAGAATTAGAGGTGATGTTTGAAAAAGCTACACTAATTGCCGGTAATGATAATTGACTAATATTTGACTTTACAATATAAATTAGCGGCAATTAATAAGTTGTTGTTTACCGACTGTCTCTAAAACTCTATTTTGATGCAGTGACGAGCAAAGAAGAAAAATTATTTTTTGTATATTAGACATGTAAAAAAAAAAACCAAAAAGACTACGAATAATCAACAAATAACATATGATGTAATCGAAAAAAGTTTTATTAATCCATGATATCGTGAAGGAGAAATTCAGTGGAATAATAAGATACGATTAAGATTTCAAGTGAAGTAATATTATAATTAACCCACTATTTTATAGTTTTAAGAAGAGAAAATATATCATTACCCCATTAAAGTAAGACCTATTTTTTAAAAAGCGTTGAAGAAGATAGAGAAGATGTAGTTGGTTCTTTTGAGTTTGGTGAAGAAGATAGCAAAAATTAAAGAATTGAAAAAGTACAATAAAATAAATAAAAAGAAAAGAAAAAAAACATTTCTAATTAAATAAATACTTAAATAAATATTTATTTACTTTTGGCTCAACTCACTTGCTATTAGAGAATGAACTACATTTTACATGCCACGTAGGCACGCAATGGGACAATAAATTCATTCTATATAAGAATAAGAGGGTAATAGGACCTCCACAAAGTTTAAATGTCTTTTTAAAAAAGAGGTCTTACTTTAATGGGGCAATTATGTATTTTCTCTTTTAACAAATGTAAACTTGGCATAAATATATATTTTTCATAAATAGGTATATGTAATTCGATATAAATAAAGTTGATTTACTTGTTATATGATTCATTTTTCTTTTTAGTCCGTCCAAAAAAGAATGACACATTTCTATATGAGGAAATTTCGCAAATAACCACTACAAATAACTTAATTAGGCTCCATAGCTGTAGTTTGTTCATTATGATTCGTAGTTGGATGTTAGAGGGAGGAGAGAGGCGAAGTGTATTTGTATCTCTGTCGAATTGTATATATATAACTGATATGCATATGTATTTGTATATCTGACGAGCGAAATTGGGAGAGGGAGGAGAGAGGAAATCGAGAAGAAAGCAAGATTGGGAGAGGGAGGAGAGAGGCGATCGAGAGAGGGCAGAGAGTGGAGAGAGGTGGATTGTATTTGTATGTCTGTCATATAATTGTGTGTGTGTATATATATATATATGTGTATAATTTGTATTTATATATGTATAAGAGATGAGAGAGGCGAGATAGAGGAAGAGAGGAGAGAGGCACACATAATTATAGCTGAAAATAGACCTTTTGACCAAAATAAGCTATTTTAAAAACCAATTCACCAAACTAATACGCTTTTTAATTTTTTTACAAAAGTAGTATAAACGTACTTAATGGTAACGTTTTAGGTTATTATTATTTTAAAAATTCAACGGACAAAAACTGACGGAGCTGACGATGTTAAATGAATAAACGTTATTGTGAGTTACGTTTTAGGTGTAAAACGTTACTCAAAATAACGTTTATTGAGAATCCAATCACGTCAACCCTGCAAATGCAGAATCAAATCCTACAAATTTAAAATGTTACTGTAATGACCCTAAAGGTAATTTTTTGGAAATTTTCATAAAATGACCGTTTTACCCCTCCCGATAGTTGCCCCGAGTCCTAATTGTTGTATTTTCGAAGTTGGTTTGGAGGAAAATTGATGAAAAGTTGAGTTTTTGGAAAGTTGAGTTTTTAAGAGTTAAAGTTTGGTTAAAAGTGCTATTTCGAGTCATTTGGAGTTTCGAGACTCAAATCGGATTTCCGTCGATTCCAGCAGTTTTAGAATGTCGAAACGGGTCTATGAGAATTTACGGAGTCGAATTTGGAGTTAAAATGAAGATTTGAGGTCCTAAGTTGCTAAAATTGTGAAATATTGATCAAGATTTGACTTTGGTCAACAATCGAGGTTCCGGTGCTCGAAATGGAATTCCGAGGGCACCGTTGGATTCAGGGGGTGATTCTAAGTCTAGAATGAGTCTTGGTTGAATTTTTAGAGGCCCCGAGTGCGTTTCGAGTTTTTGAGCCTAAAGTTAGTTTCTTGACGCCTTATCGGATACCGGGTCAAGGAGACCTCGAATTCAAAGTCCGACAATTTCATTGAGTCCGAAATGTCATTTTCAAGCTTGTAGCATATTTGGTTTGTGTTCGGGAAGTGCCAAATGAGTTTTGGGTGAGCTTTTAAGCTTCTTGGATGGTTTGACACTATTTCAGCAAATTGTGGCAACTAAAGGGTTCATTATTAGTTTTAAAGGTTGAAATTTTTTTTCTGAAGGTTCTGAAATTTTGAGCATGAATTATAGGACTTATCTGCAAATTTTGGTGCATTTTCGCTAACCCGAGATTGGACTTTTATCGCAAATAAGAAATAATTGTTTTTCGAGTATAAATGATATTTGACTAGGCAAACGAGCATGAAATTGAGCTCCGATTGAATGAGCAAGTCCGTATCATTATTTAAGACATTTTCAAAAAAGAATCGGGTCATTTCACTATCGTATGAGGAAATTACGGCCTTTTTAGTGAAAGATTAACTGCTGTTTTTCTGGTGCATAACAGTCATGTACTATTATAAAAATCTCAGACTATGTTAATTTGGTATTTTGAGCATATCGGGAGTTCTAGAGATCGGAATGGAGTGATTCTTACGGGTTTCTTCTTGAATTAATATGAGGGTTAGTATTCAATCTTCAATTCGACATTTTCTCATAATTTCTTTATCTGATTTTTTTTCCTATTCGTGAACCTCTTGGGAAAAATTGGGGTTTTATCGATTTGGACTCCCTTTTTGATGAAAAAGGTATATTTACGATCCTTATGTTATGGGTAAACTGATTTTAACATAAAATTATTGATTCATCGATTATTTTCATCATATTAACCGCGTACAATTTGGACTTTCCGGGTAAAGTTAAAGTTTGATAAATTGAGAATTTCAAGGTCGATCTTAACTCTGTTTTTGATGAAATTTCATATTTGAACTTATCTAAGCATGGGTAAGAGGTTTTTCAAGAGATATTTCATTTTCGAGTCGAGGTTTCGGATCCGAATATTTTAGGCTTCTTCAAGAACGTGAATTTTCCTTCAAATTCAGTTTGTGAATTGATTTCAACTCCGTTTTCAAATTGGTTTTCACCATTAGCTTCCAAATACTTTGAGGATCATTTTGCATCAAAAAATTCCAGATTTGGGTATCATTTTCCGGTATGAGACTTTTAGACCGTTTTGCCCTTTTTCCCTAAATTCCTTGATTTTGGTGTCATTGGACTCGAATTGTGATTTTGAATAATTGTTTGAATAGATTATCGTGATCCGGATTCTACTCGGAAAGGAAAGGCTCAAGTCAAGTAACTTTTGGAGTTCGTTTTAAGGTAAGTGGCTTCCAAACTTTGTAAAACTCTTAGACTACGCATGACTACTTTCCTAATTGTGTTGGGGAGTAATAGGGATTGAGGATGGGTTTTATTTGTTGATTGAAATTTGTTGTAAATGAAAGATGGGGAATAAAATGAGCTAAATGTGTTATGATGTGGTCGTGATATGGTTGTGATTGAAACAGGTGATGTGTAATACTATGATGTGGTCGTGATATGGTGGTGATTGAGACAGGTGATGTGTAATACTATGATGTGATCGTGATATGATTGTGATTGATGACATGTGCATATTCATTATTCATCCCATGTGTGAATTATCTGTTGTATGAGTTCTGAGACACTGATATGAGGATGGATGGATATGAGACACAGTTGAGACTAGCTCCGGCTAGAGATATATGAGATGGACTAGCTCCGGTTAGCGATTTGGATGCCGATGGGATCTGGTTCTGGCGGTGATACATGGTCCATGTGTGGCCCCCATGGGTTCTGATTTGAGTATTCAGCGCGGATTGATTACGTCAACAGATGTGTATCGTAGGACAGACATGCATCACGACTAAATGACATCATTATTGCACTTTGCATCGCATTTGCCTTATCTTGGTCTGTGATGTGTGGATTGTATCGGTTTACCCTTCTTATGTGAAATTTGATCTACTTGCTCTTATTTGTTGATCTGAGGTTGATGAGGATATACTGTTGGTTCTGGCTGTTGAATATGATCTGTTTAGTATAGGTTGGTTGGTTTGCTGCTAGATTGAAGTTTCGGTGGTTCGGTTGGGATTGAAAGGAGTTGTTTGTAGCTGCTAGTTTTGCTTAGTTTAGAGTTACTTGCGAGTACCTGTGGTTTTCGGTACTCACCCTTGCTTCTACACAATTGTGTAGGTTGACAGCTCTCTCTCAGATTCGGCTTAGTATTTTCTTTAGCAGATTGAGCTTCGGGACATACTCGAGAGGTAGCGGTTCATTCCAGACGTGCCCTTGAGTTATCTTTACTTTCAGTTTTGTTCTATTCGAGAACTATACTCTGAGACTTGTATATTTTTATTCGAATTCTGTATTTAGATGTTTGTACATGTGACAACCAAATTCTGGGTAGTGTTGAGTCTCAATTAAAATCTTCCGCTTATTTATTATCTTTTATTCTCATATTTCTACTTCTTTATCATTGTGGTTGGGTTAGGCTGACGTGTCCGGTGGGAAATGGACACGT